TCTCACAATTATGAGTTTCTGTCTCACAATTATGAGTTTCTGTCTCACAACTATGACTTTCTATCTCACAATTATGACTTTCTATCTCGCAGTTCTGCCTATTGTGCTCAGAATTTTGAGAAACAAAGTCTGAATTCTGAGATAAAAATGTAGAATTGTGAGGGAAAAAAGTCAGAATTATGAGATAAAGAGTTATATTTCTCTCCTCTTCTCGGAAATGGGCTTAGTTTAGCGATAACACAGTTGCTCTAATAACCAATGTATGATTTAAAATCAGATATAGTTAGCCTGAAAGAGCACAATGTTAAGTCACCGCATACCGAGCTGCATTGCTTCACACCACTGAAACCGTAAGTCATACAGCTCGGCACTCACACCCACGAGCACATTCACTCTCATTCCTTGAGCGTTAATTTTAGTAAGGTGACGCAAAGCCTTGTGGCCCCTTCCTAAAGTAAACATGCTAAGCCTGGAGCAGGTATTCCAGACCTGAGGTTTCACCCGGAGCAGACATTCCCCACAGACCACAGAGGGTGAGTGCTGCCGTTGCTGCCGTTTGATTGGAAAGGATAAGCGTTCATTCATATCATGAAGTTAATGACAGATACTCAGTCTACATGGGTTGTTTCAACCCAACTTTGGGTCAAATATGGACTAACCCAACTTTTGGGTTAAAAATTTTATGTAAAAATTTAACCCAACAGTTGGGTTAGTCCATATTTGACCCAAAGTTGGGTTGAAACAACCCAGCATTTTTTAGAGTGTATATGAGGCCACAACCGCTTACACAAGGAATGCTCATCAAAGTTCACAGCATTTGATGGTGCAGTGCATCTGAAGTGACCCACTTACTAACCAACTATTTTTAACTTTTTTCTCACAGTTCTGAGATTACACTCAAAAAAATGCTGGGTTAAATTCAACCCAGTGCTGGGTAAAATAGGGACAAAACCAGCAATTGGGCTGTTTTTACCCAGTGGTTGGGTTAAATGTTTAACCCTACCTTCTGGGTAGTAACCCAACCGCTGGGTCAAAACAACCCAATTGCTGGGTTTGTCCCTATTTTACCCAGCACTGGGTTGTATTTAACCCAGCATTTTTTAGAGTGTACATCCCGCAATTCTGTTTTTTTGTTGTTGTTGTTTTTTAAATACAGTGTAGGTTTTCCTGAGGAAGTTCTGCTCATCACCAAGTTGTGGTGAAAAGTCCTAGGAACACATGAGTGTAGCGTGAGTGTAGATGGCACTGATGTGATTCTACACTGAAAAAAAAGGTGCAGGATTTACTTTGAAACAATTTTCACTCAGAAATTGCTAGTAAATTTCACAAATGATTACAAAGAAACCACAAGTAACACAAGTAACAAGTGACATTTTGAATTTTTATCCACAACTGTTTATACACTAATTAATCAATTTAATAATTAAATAAAATATTGCGTTTAATTTATGTGGAATTAAATACACCAATGCAACATTAGATAAATCAACTGAAATATGAAAATGTTGACATCTAAATTGTTCATATTAAAACTGCGTGCATATGGGTCAATGATGTGATGCTCTATTAAGTTATTCAAAAATACATTAAAATGCAGTGTAAAAATACTTTTCTGTGATGAACATGTTTTCAAAGGAAAACTCATCTT